CCCCCCCCCCCCCGGAAATAGCTGGCCCGACACGGTTTTCCAGCGTTTCTTTTTTCTCTTCCGTCTGGGCCAGTTGGTTCCGGGACTTATTTACGGAATAGGAGGAACTGCCTCGAGGGAACGCGCTCGGCTCGATAATGATTGTTGTTGACGGTTTCAAGCGCACCTCGACTCGTAACCGAGAACATTCGGTGCATTAAGCCGCGTCCGATCTTGGAAGAAAATGATTTCAGAAGAAATTTCAACGAACGCCGGTAACCAACAACCACAGATTCGAGGCGGCATATTTCGCTCGAGCGTGGACGGGGCTTTAATGCACCGCGGACGGGGCTTTAGTGCACCGTGGACGGAGCTTTGGTGCACCGTGGACTAAAGCGTTCAAGCGTGCAATTCATGTGACAAATAAATGTTATGCGTTCAATTGCAGCTCTGGCAACAAAGAAAGAAATATATATCTGTGTTGTATTTAACGAAACGTCGTACAGGTTGAACATTATTTGATTTTTATGTATCTTTTTTTTTATGTTTCTCTTGCTTTAATCCCGGCTACGGACCGACGGGAAACGTCTCCCGACGATCGGGACAATTCGATTTCAGGTGTGCCGCGCCATTCCCAGGATTCCCGGGAGCCGTGTGGTTCGAGCAAAAACATTGTCAAACCGCCGGACACAAAAACGTTTTCCACTAGATAGTCGGCGGCCGTGCGTTTTCACCGGAGAACGCGCATAGTATTCTTACAGGTTAGGTGTTAGGTAAAATGTGTTGCTGCAGCACATATCATTTGGAATAAAATAAAAAGTACCTAATTTCAGACGATGAGTTATTTCGACTAATTTATTACGTTTTTGTTTTAGGAATAGCTTAGAGGACGTAGTTTCATTTTAGCGCGAACTACTTCTTTAGTCGATCGTGTTTCATTCTGTTCGAACAAAATTAACCCCGCTAGAGCGACGGGCGACCACGCGTTTCCACCGATCCCAGAGTCCAGGGGATTCCCCGTCTGGTAATGTCGACTTTTTCACTGTTCCGGGCCTGTTCTCGTTCGTATGACGTGCTCATACCGACCCTCAGAAGGCTCGCCGATGCTCGGGCACCCGAGATGTTAATAGAATTTGTCGCGACGGCTGAAGCAGGTCGGCCAGGATGTGATCGGCGATCTAGGGAATCTAGGGGATTCCGGGGACGATTGGCAGCTGGCCGCTTCCTATCGGGGATTCCCGGTTTTCCCCCGAGTGGCTGGATCGGTGGGTCATTTACAGGGACAAGAGGGGTCGTCAGCTTGAGAAAAACAATTAATCACGATTATATCGATTATATGTATTGATACGCAATATTTTCCGAACCGAACACGCTGTTTTGTAAATTTCGATTGGAAGTGTCGTTTATTTCGTGTGTACAATCCAGAAAACCGTAACGATATATGATTATAAATATTGTGTATAAAGTGTGTAATTCAAACACTAAATTTATTTAGAGAATAGCGGAATTAACGACGTATTATAATTGCGATTATCCACCACCTGCTGTTAGAATTTGTAAATACTAAATAAAATAATAATCGTGGGTTTTTCATAGCGAATTGTAAATACAATTGCAGGCGACGAATGATTTCATAATTGTCGGTTAGATTAGCGTAATTAATTTTGAAAGATTTCAGAGGATAATTGACGGATGAATAAATCTTTCGGTTTCTCGAGTGAACGTTAGATTAATCGTGATAACAATGACGATAAGTTTAATCGGCAGTGCAAAATTATTCTGTTAAATTTGTTAATAATTTTGCTATCCGGTCCAATTAAAACAATTTAACTAGCTTGACTAAGTTTGGAGAATTTGTCTTTTGTAAAATCGAATTTGTAAATTGTTCGATGATTATTTCTCTCGAGGAGGTTTTCTAAGCTCGGGTGACAATGGGCGGAAAATTGTCGGCGTTCGCGGTCCCAAAGCAGCGAAATTCTAGCGACTGGAACGGATTGTCCAGTTTGAATAAAACCGCGCGCCCGCGATGTCCCACTTTCAAAGCGGCTGCGGGCCCGCGGGAAATTCATTTGTAAACGGTTCGCTTCCCCTCAGTTTTCATTCATCAATTGGAGAACATTCGAAGTGAAGACTCCGCTGACGGAAAACGTATTAAAATTGAGAGACCCGACCGGTTGAAAGGAACTCATAACCGACCTGGTTTCCATTCGTGAAATTCAATTTCAACGAATCTACGTTCACGCGTGACTTGTCGCATTCAAAATATTTTAACATTATTTTAATACTTTTACAATATTTTACACCGTTGCCGCGTATCACGTCTTTATTTAGCCACGTTTTGTTTGTGCAGCGAAACGCAATTTTTTCAAAATTCTGAACAAGGAATTTGGTTAATTGGGGCAGCGGCTTTGTCTCATTGTTTCAGTCAAACATCACGGAACGAATTTTTATCAAGTAATATTCATTTTGTATCTTATTGCATCGTTTGTCATTTCTTAGCGCATTTTTCATGTCTCGTTCTTTACGTTCGAACGAAGAATTTAATCGATCAGAAACCGGTATTCGCTTAAAATTGCTCTATTAATCGGACGAATAAATTAATTGTTGTAAAGTATTTATTTCTTTGTTTTTACTGAAATCGATATTTGCGTTCATCGAATTCATTTACAACAACGTTCGTTTATCTTCATTTTCGTGAACAAGTTAAGAAATAAGTGAAGCGTGTTGCACGTTTGTTGCACGACAAGGTAATAATTTATAGTCGAGCAAAAAATCACACTTTTGTTGTGGAAATGGAAACAATAAGAAATACGAGTAAAATCGACGGGTAAAAAAACAACTGCGAAACAAATACGTGCATCGATTTTTAGGATCAATTAACACGGGAAAAAAATGGCGTCCCATCCGACTGCTTCAGTTCTCGCATGGCGTTACTATAAAACTTACTATAGGCAAGCTGCCCTCTGTACATACAGCCATATATTTGAAAAAAAAACTATTATACATATATATATATATATATTATATTATATAAATATATGAACATATATATATAAAAAGATATATATTATTGAATCTGTAATGGAGTGCAATGTAAGCGTTACTTATTCGTGTGAACACAAATGCGGCACCGAAACGAAAAATATGATTACAAAACGAAAAAAAAAACAAACAAACAAACACGAAGAAAAACCAACCGCCAACATGTGTAATCGAAGAAATTAAAAAAAGGAAAAAAACAATTAAAAACGAAGAAACAGACAAAAAAAAAGCAATCACCGATCGGAGAGGCAAGAATTGTACGATATTGTGTATCGATCCAGATCGGTTGAAAATAAACGAGTCCTGTGCTGTTAACGTTGCCCTGCGATTATATCAGCGGAAAGCCGTGTTTCTCGTCGTTATTCCGAAATAAATGGACCACTTTCGTTTGAACCCACGTTTGTGTGTTAACCGTCATCGATAAAACTTCTCGTTTTTTTACGATTCTGTGCCCCCTTTTTTCTGAAATT